TGACATTCAAGGTAATCTTTATTTAATTTTCAATGTTCAGGATCCTCATTTAAAAATCAATTGTTATATTATAACGTTCATAAAAATTGTTTGAACTCATGCCAATAAACTCATCTATAGTTTTACTATAGATTATAGAAACATTTTATATTCTATAAGTATATTTTATAATTTTTTAAATAAATATTATTGGTCTTTTGGAAACTACATACATTCTTTTGTTAAATACATCATAAAAATGGATTGCATTAAGCAAGTCATTTTTATTTTTGATCCTGGTGGTTAATATTTAATATAATTGTTATTATCACCTAAAAAACGTTTAACATTATTTTATAGACATTTAAAAAAAAATGTTTATATCAGTACATTTACAATTTCTATATTTTTTAAATAAATATTACACATTCTATTACGTATATGTAAATTATGCATAATTTATAAATAATTATAAATATACAAATCATATGAAAGCAAACTTTCATTAATGATTTAAATGGGTTAATGAAAGATTCATTTACCATATTTAATATTATAATATTATACATATTTACTTGTACCATATCTACATATAAACATTGAATGTCTTAAAATGTTATTTTATATTTCATAACATTGTATTATTTATATAATCAGTTTCATTTCACATCATGTGCGAATGTGAAGCCTTGTCCACACTAAGATCAAACTACTTGAATAAACCATTTCCTGAAAAAGAGGATATTAAAAACCTAAAACCCAGAGAGATACTTAATTTCGCCAGAAAGACAGGACTCTTTGGTCATCTCTAGAGGTGACTTTATGGTTGGTAATGTATTAACACTTTGGTGATAACACTTAGGTGGGTAAACCGAATCAAGACAATTCGGTATGAGGTGCGCACAATGGACCAACAGGTCTGAGTGCATGGGCATTATGTCCACCTCAATAATAACTAAAACTAAAAAACTATATAATCAGTAATTGTAATTCTATAATTAGTTCATAAAAGAAATAATTTTATAAAAAATTACAATTGTAAAGTAATTTTCAACTATTTCAAATCATTATAAAATACAAAAGATCAATATGAATTAAGAAAAATATTTAAAATAAGTTTTAATTTATTTATAATATAAATTATATTCGTGTAATTTTTATAAAAATCGGTGGCCTCATTACTATGACAACCCTTTGTGAGGTATTTAAAAAAAAAATTTGAACACAAAAATAGCATGTTTTTTAACTACAGCTGCTATTTGAACGTAGAAGACAAGTCGTCGGGACAATTTTTTTTTTAATTTATTGTACGTAACATAAACTTTTGTTAATATATTTTTTAAAGACACAGTATTTATGGAAAATTTTCGATAGTAGAGTTGAAAAAATTAACTTTTGTGAAAAAGTTTCTATTTTGAATTCCCTCCTGTGGGTAGGTGAGGGTCAGATTTCAAAAAATTTCTATCAAATGATAGGATTTCGATATAAAAAAAAAATATTTTGATTGAAATATCGAAGTTTAAAATTTCTATTTAATAATAAATAAAAGTATTTAACTACCTACTTTATATTTGCGTTTTAGTAAATAAAAATATTTAACAAATAAAATTATTTATAAATATACTTTTAATAATTACTTTTTTATATATAATAAAAATATAATATATTATTTTTCGTAGTGAACGGTAGATAATATATTTTTATAATATTTCGAAGCATCACCATCTTAAAAATTCAATAAATTTAACCCGTAATACACATTTAAAATAAAGTAATAAAATTTCATTTTAAACATAAGAAAAGATTTAAAAAATCTTTTTAAATAAAAAAAAAAATTGCATTAATAATTAGTATTGTTGAAATTGAATTTTTTATAATTGTAATAGCCTAGCTAAGTTATTACAATGGAATTTACTTAATTAGATTTTTATTAATTAATTTTTATTTAAATTACTAAATATTTCATTTTTTCCCATACTCCAATTATGTAATTTCACAATTATTGTCATATACAAATTAGACTCGTGCAATATTTTATTTAAAATCATGTCAGAGTTAAAACTACAAATTAATAATCAAATTTTAACCAATATTTCAATTAAGTCATAGTTCAATTTTCATATAACTAAAAAAATAGAATACTTATAAATATGTTTGTTGCATACACATTACACTTAAGTTTTTAATAACTCTATTTTTTTTTACAACTAAGCTACTTCATAAAATCAAATTTGTTTCCCTAACTATAAAAATTATTAAGTTTTACAAATCAATTAAAGTTCAGTATAAATACTACCTAAATAAATTATTAACTAATAAAAAAAATGTATTCAAAATAGTTAACGCTAGATGCTAGTTTCAAAATTATTATATTAAGTATACCAATATTATTCAGCATATTATACTCATTAGGAATAGTTGGGTAATATTGTCATAAATGAAAAATAATTAGTAAAAAAATCAAGATTACAATGATCATTTAAATGTAATATGAGCAAAGAAATAGATTGTCAACTTATTCTTTTGGGAGCCTGAAGCTTCCCCTAAATATGACCCTAATTATACTGCGCATCTATTATTACATCATTATATGTACTTACTTTTTAAGTAACAAAACACACTACAGCAAAATTAATTTTCCTTAAAAGTGAAAAATATTGGTTTTCATTCATTCGGGTATAAATTCTTAGTAATTTTGTCTTTCAACAGCCGAAAATCCAAAAATGTAAATATCTTCTTAAGTAATTTATTTCGTTAATTTTCCTTGTGGCTATATGATGAAAGAAAATGATCAAAGCAGATCAATATAAGCATTGTTTCATAATTGAACTTACCTATTATTTGACATTTTTTTCCTTAAATGATCTCAATAAACTTTCAAATATAATTTATTAATTGTAACGATATAAAAATAAAATAATTAATGTGTTACATTGAATCACTAAATTTGTAACATTATTAAACATTTAATATACAAAAACGTTAAACAACGCAAGTTTGTATACAGATGTCGAGTTAATTTAATACTCAATTCAGTTTTCTAAGGTTATGTTAAGTCTTATTGAATAATGAACAAGAATTTTTAATCACGCGTGATTGTAATACAGCGGCGAATTAGTATTAAATTCAATACAGTTTAAGAGGTTATGCTACAATATTTAATTCGTAACTATCAACAAAAAGATTACTTTGTGTAAGCAATGATTATGATAACATTATCGTAGTATTCGATTATTTTAAGAATCACAATACTAGGCGAAGGGTTGGGTTTTTTAAAGTAATTCGTTCTTCAGTATTACAGTTAGTCTTACAAACTGATAGACTGTGCTATTAATAATATAGTAAAGACCCGTTTTGAATCTATAATTATAATAGATAATTATGGTTAAATTAGTGTGTCGTAAATTATTAATGCTATCTTACTTATCATATCTTGGTCAATAACAATTAGTGTATATTACACTATAGAATAATAGTGACTTCTGTATTGAAAACATTAAAACAACAATAGAAATTTAGTCCAAAATTATTTAACTTTAACAAGCTGTAACAGACGAACGGTTGATCGGAAAAAAAAAATTGTAAGAGCAAAGTTGTTTGTATTTTTATGTTCAATCATAATAACAAATTCAAAATAGGGGTTCCCATTTAAGAAAATGCAAATTAATGTTTTTTAACCTTGAAGGGATCAAAGAAATTATGTTTTTACTACATATTATTGTAGAGTTTTTTGAATCAAAAAATATTTTCCTTACCAAAAATTAAAAATTTTCAATAGTTACCGAGAAAATGAGTGTCTTATCCTTAATGAATCATTCTATATATATATATATTAATATTTATATATACGTATATGTTAATATTCATTTAAATAACCCTACAGCCGACGCCGCTGTATATACCTCGTGTATAAGGTTCTCCCCGCCACGCCCGACCACAAAACACGCCTATATCTCGTGCATGATACGTTTACGTACTTAAGTCGCTCTACATGTATATATATATATATATATATATATATTCTAATTACTGTTAAAACTTATATATTAATACGCTTTATTATCATTAAGAGATATATAGTGTATTTATTCCGATTACGAGTGATGATTCCCGTATCGTCATTTTTCGTCACTGCCTCCATGTTGCGCGCTTGCTGCTTTCCTTGGATATGGTAGCCGTTTCTAAGACTCCCTCCCAGGAATCGAACCATAATTTCCCTTTACCCGATACAATCATGATATTGATAGTAACTACTATCATAACATGAAACTAAAAAGTAAAAAATAAAAAAACCCAGCACAGGGGGGTCGCGGCACAGTGGTGACGTGGCATAGTTGGATCAAGTATAATGATATCTGACAGTGATTAAAATCACTATCAAAAAAAAACGCTTCGATGCAAATCTTTAGATAGTGTTTAATTTTAAAAAATTGGTGGATTATTCCAAAAGCTACATGATCTGCTAGTTCATTATTAATATCCTAATTAAGATAAAGTATGTCGAATGAAAAAGGGATTATTAAAAAATATTATTTCTCATAAAAAAATAATGTTCATCCATACACTTTTCAATATGTCATAGCATTATAAAGTTAAAAATGTAAAAAATAAAATCGAGAATTATCACACGAAAACAGCATTCGGTAGACATTTTCGCCGTGAAGATAAGTCTAGAGGTCAATGTTTTTTTTTTAAATTAAAGTATATTACATTAACTTTAATTTAAGATATATATAAAAGTGTTAGACTTTCCGGAACACTTTCAAAAAATAAGTTGAAAAAGTTCTACTTTCTACGTGCATTTTTTAGATTTGAACCCCCCTCAAATATAGGGATATAGTCCGATTTAAAAAAACAGTATGTCGAATGAAAGATGTATATAAATACTACTTCTCATGAAAAAATTGTATTGAGAATTTTCACATAATAATAGCATTCGGTAGCCATTTTCACCGTGAAGGTAAAATAAAGTCCAACATTTTTTTTTTTGCATAATAAAGTAAATTACATTAGCTTTAATTTAATATATATATAAAAGTGTCAGACCTTCCGGAACATTTTCAAAAGTTAAGTTGAAAAAGTTAATTTTTTGTGAAAAAGTTGTCATTTTAAATCCCCCCTTGTGGGCAGGTTAAGGGTTACATTTAAGNGTCATTTTAAATCCCCCCTTGTGGGCAGGTTAAGGGTTAAATTTATGAAAAAAATATACCAAATGAAAGGTAATGATATTATGCATCTATATAAAAAAAAAATTATATTGATATGTTCATTTTTGAAAAAATTATGGCACTTTTAAGTAAAAAAAATTGAAAAAATTTCGAGAATTAGCGATTTTTAAATTTGTAATTTTTTTGGTGATTTTCCCTCATTTACGGGGAACGAGGGAATTTTTTTCAAATTTTGAGGGTAGTGTCTTCGACTAAATATGATTTGTGATCTTTTGATGTATCATTGAAAGAAATCAGTATAGTGAGAGCTGAGAAAAAGTGGTAACAGAGACAAAAAAAAAAAAACACATCTTAGTAAAACCAATCGCGACATAGTGGAGACATTGCATAGTTGGGTCCAGTATAGATTTAATCTGACAGTGATTAAAATCACTATCATAAGAAACGCTTCGATGCAAATCTGTAGATAGTGTTTAATTTTAAAAAATTGATGGATAATTGCAAAAGCAACATCAACTTCTATTAAAATAAAATACAAAACCCATAATTTTAATACAAAAATAGCATATTTTTGAATATGGTAACCATTTGAGATGGTAGGTCGTCGGGACAAATTTTTTTTTTCATTTTGTAGTACATAAAATAAGCTTTAATTTTATATATGTTTAAAGGACGCAGTATTTCCGGAACATTTTCAAAAATTAAGTTGAAAAAGTTAGTTTTTGTAAAAAATTTGCTATTTTAAATCCACCTTGTAACCAGAATAAGTGTTAGATTTTCAAAAAAAATGATATCAAACGAAAGGAAATTACCTAAGGTTTCAATATAAAAAAATATTATGTTGATTTGTTAATATTTGAAAAAGTTATGGCAGTTTTAAGAAAAAAAATGACAAAATTTACCGATTTTTAAGTTTGTAATTTTTAGTTTTAATTTTAATTTTTAAGGGTAATGTCTTCAACTAGATACGATTTGTGATCTTTTGACGTATTTTTGAAAGAAATCGGTCCAGTGAGAGCTAAGAAAAAGTGGCAACAGACATAAAAAAAAAAAAAAAAA